TCTATCTCCTATGGATTCACGAAGAACACTGCATTCATCAACGACTGGAACTCCAGTTACCTTCCCTTGATCTTCAGAAACTCTCACAAATATCAAAGAAATAGCAGTTTGGTATTTGGATTATGAATCCGATATTTTTCTTACCAAAATTCAATAACACGACGAAGGTTGAAAACAAAATATATGAAGATGATTTCAATGGAATGTGTTTCTCTCAATAATCAACCTTGTGAAACTGTTTTGTAATGTTTGGATATTTATATGAGGTTAGGGAATGAATGAGCCAGACAAAAAACCTTTAAAAAATGAAATAAAAATTTCCTTAATGACACTGTCGTTCGAGCGAAGGTTCAACGACAGTCGAGCGACAAGTTGTCGCTCGAGCGAAGGTGAGGCGACAGTTGAGCAATGAAGTGTCTGTTTCTGATGCTCGAAGCTAGCGAAATTTCGTGCCGTTTTTCCTTCTTTCACTAATTGTACACTACTCCTTGACTGTTTACAACATATCAATTTTAGTTTTTTTTGTTCACAGATTTGCTAATTAAATTAAATACCTAACAAGCTCACCCTTTGACATTCTGTGAAAAAATTACAATCTAAGTCAAGACAGTAGTAAATTAAAATTATAGACTCAAATCAACTAATACAACCAACAACTGTCTTGAACGAATTCTATATTTCATTTTTCAATACCTGATTCCTGAAATAGATAATTCAAATATGCAATGTAAAATGTATGTGAAACAGTATTAAGTGTAAAAATAGTTTCAGCAGTTCACAGTGTAAAAGTTATTTAAGCAGTTAATAATTCATAATGAAACTTTTCAGTTTCACATCATATGCTAAATTAATGCAATATCAATGTAACTCAACATACCAAAACGAAACATTGATACTACTAAAATATCAAAACGTAATTTAGCAAAAACTGAAAATTTATCATATAATAAGAATCAAATGTTTTAGATATAACAAGTAGATAAAAATATATACATCTTGTTAAAGCAAAAATATCTACTCATATCTACTCCATCAAAATATCTACTCCTCATTTTTGTTACAAAATGACAAGGGGTATCCAAAAACTAATCAGCATTAGCAGCATCGTCAGATTCAGTCCCCTCATCTGATGCTGCAGCATCATCCTAGTGGCGACAAATCCATCGAAGCACACGCAGAAGATATCCAAGAGCACCCGTGGTTGCTGGGGTGTTGGTGGTGGCAGCGACGGTGGTTTATGTGATGGCGGTGGTGTGTTTCTATGGTATTGGCGGTGGAGACGACGGTGGTGTTGTGTTGGTGGTGGTCACAGATGATTTGTTGATTGTGACCAATAAATTGGTTAGTGTGTGACCAATAAAAAATAAATTGTGACCAATAAATACCGTGTGACCTACAAATTTGTTAATTTGTGACCAATAAAAATAATTTGTGACCTATAATTTGATATTTTGTGACCATAAAATACGTTTTGTGACTTATAAATTTTGTGATTTGTGACCGATGAACAATTTGTGACTTAAATTTTTAATTTGTGACCGACGAACTAACTGTGACCTATAAAATTTTTGAATCGCGACCTTAAAATTTCTGATTGTGACCAAATTGAATAGATTTGTGAGCTTTATATATTTATCAATAAAAATATAATTAATTAATTCATTCACAAATAAATTTTAATGAAAACCTGATTTTTGAAATTTAAAACTTCTAACCTTAAACTTAAAATAGTGATACTTAAAAACCTGATTTATGCATTGTTCTCTTACTTAATTTTTTATTAGATCACTTTAATTTTGGACTTAACTTTAAGATAATATTTATACATAATTAATTATATATGTCAGCCCACATGAAAAATTAAATAATTTCTCAACTGATAAAGCTTGAAGCTTGAAGAAAGAACTCAGAAAAAAAGCTTCGATATTTTTAGGAAAGTGCAGGGGAAGTTGCTTATAGAAACCAATTATTGACGCAGCTGAGAGATAAATGTATAATCTTTTATTCTGAACCCACCTGCCAATGTATATGAAAGCAAATGGCAGATAAGAATTGGAATAATTTAAAGATGTGCGCTCATTCGTTGAGTTGAAAACAAAAAAATTGTGAAAAGTTACGGGCCCACCAGCATGAACGAGGAATAAAGTAACAGTTGCTTCGAAATTACTGGAGAGGTGAAGTGGGAACTGGAACTTATTCAAAAGAATTAATGCGCTCGACCCATATGTGTGAGTGTTCTGTGAGTTTTCAAAATGATTTCTTTAAGTGAAGCAATCCTCTATTTAAAATGTTATCACATAAAAGAAATGACTCGCTCCTAATTATCATGAGTTGAGATTTATTGTTCAAAATTTATTATCTAACTTACCGTCCACCCAATGTATAATTGACACATCATTTTTAATTAGTATAATCAACTTTTTTCTCGCAATCAATTGTGTTTAAAATTAAACGACATTTTAAAATGATGTGTCCATCATTTATCGGTGGACAACAAATTTTGAACATCAAATCTCCACTCACTAATCGTATCCATCCACCTCGGTCCCAACACATGTTGGCTCCCCACTTGCCACCCCGACTAGGGTGAGCGACAGTTTGAA